CATCTGTGTGCTGGACAGTTGTGATATTTATCCAAAAGCTAAATCCACACACTTTTTACCCAACAATGTCTGGTCTAGGGATCTAGCCCACACCCGGGGAGAATGATGCTCAAGTGTATTCACAGCTACATGATTTGTGCTGACCATAAGAACCTGCCCTGAGTTTCTGACCATCTTCGAAGGCCTTTTCAACTCTAAACAAAATCCAGGAGCTAGATTTTTTCTCATGATCTTCTTGCACCACCTCGGGATATAATTAGTAAAATAATAATAACAGCTGATGCCGAAAAGGGTTTGATTTGCGCCTGGCTTGGCATAGTCTCAACTCCTTCAGTTCTCACAACCACCTCAAGAACTAGCTGCTGTCCTCATCAGCCACCTGTGAGGGGTGAGGACGGCAGGGCAGGTAAGTACCAACCTTGCCCAAACTCAGCCCGTGGCAGAGAGAGGACTTGAACCGGGGTCCACACATGGAACCTCTGCCCTCCACTGCCTGTGTGTACATGGCACACGTGACAGTGCACAGTGCACACGTAGGTACCAGTTGCCATGTATTCAGCAACTTCTAAGTGCTAAGCCACCGTGCTAGTCACTTCAGTGTTTTAACGAGGTCATCTCCATAGTCCTGTGTTGAGGGCAGGAGATAGAGGCTGGGGCGGGGGTGGGGGGGAGCGTCACTGAGGGAAATGAAGATAAAAACAGAAGACACTGCCCCTGCCTTTAAGAAGCTGACAGTATGTGTGAGAAGATGACAACAGTCCTTACATTTGTGCAACACATCAGCTTTCAAAGCCCTTTCATTATCTCATTTAATCTTCTTGTCAATCCTGCCAAATAATTTCTATGATCTCTGCCCCAGGATGAGGAAACCAAAGCTCTGCAAGTCACATGGGCTGCCCCCAAGATCAGCCAGCCAGCCAGGGGAGGGGCTGGAACCTGACCTCAGGTCCCATGACTCCCACTCTGTTAAAGGGGAAATGACATGCGGTCTTGATAGCCTAGCTCATGGATTTCCAACTTGCTCCAACACGAGGACTCCTTTTTCCCATCAGAAATTATTGTGATCCTGCGCATGAGGAGAGTTGTTATTTTGGGCTTTAGTCAACTGGGGAAAACTCATAGAAGGAAAACAACCAAAGCTTCAGTATAGTTGGAAAGGGCAGCACAGTTATATCCCAGACATTGCTTATACAGTCAGCAGACAATATTTGGAGCACAAATAGGGACTTCCAGCAATAATTCTGCAGCTCATGGGCAGGTAATAACTTGCTGAGACCATACTGCCACAGCAGGTCAGAGGAGGACACATTTCCAAAGTCCATCTTCTCTATCAGGGTATGGGAGAAAAGAGCCCCTAAATTCTATGGGATTGGCGGAGAGTAGAGTGCAGGCATCATCGGGAGCAAAGAATCTTGGTTGCAGGAGTCAAGCCCATGGGAAGCCCAAAAGGTGTGTGGATGGATGTGTATTTTGGTTGGAACGAATGGTTGATTCTGGATGCCAAGGACCATTTAAGCAATCAGGATTAAGAAGTAGATCAGAAGTAAAGAGAGCGTTTCAGAGGAAAGCTGATGCCCAATCCGAACCCCCTATCTGGTGTCTTTGGGGTCAGATGTGCTTTGTAAATCAGTGCTTTTGGTTTTAATTTTAGAAAAGCAACACGGTGTCTGTAGTATATATTTTGTAATGCCTCTAGCAGGATGTGGGCTATATTCTTTTTTTTTTTTTTTTTTTTGTGGGCTATATTCTATGTTCAAATACATTGATATTTCTGTAATAAAGTGTATCGATCATGGATCAATATACTAGGTACAATTGCACTTCCCTTTCTGAAAATGCAAATGATACTTGGTGCAACTAAAGACTTAACCTTTGCACTGGTTCAGGAAAGGTTTTGTTGCCAAATGTGTTTCCTTTTCAGAGCTCTTTAGGTTTTGGAGCTGTAGATAAGGGATTGGAATTTAGATTCCATTTTTGGCCAGCTTGCTACATGCTAGGCAGTAGTTCTAAACTGATCTACATGCATTATCTCATTTAATCTTACGTCAGCACTGAGATGATTATCATCAGTTAACAGTCAAGAATAGTGAGGTTGAGAGATGTTGAGTGACTTGCTCAAAGTCACTTAGCCAGTCAGCTGCAGGGCTGGGACTGGATCCCAAGTCCCTGTGACTCCAAAGCTAGGGGTCCCCCCAATCCCAGTCCTGAGGAGGAGAAGCCCATTCTGCCAACCTCACAATTTTGTTTAGGTTGCCACTCTTCAGCACTGCAATTAACCAGTGCAATTAACCATCAAGAAACAAAGGGAACAGCCGAAGTTCAAGACTGCGGCAGCGAGTTCTCACCCATTACTGAGTGGCCATCCCTGCACTTCACCATTCTCCTGTGCACCTATGTCCCACCTGAGCAGAACAGCAGAACAGACATGAGCCACTCTGTGCCCTGTCCTGTGTAGAAAGCCACCATGCTTAGCAATTACTTACTCCCCTTTCCAGAATTCATTCAGGGCAGTACAACACAACAGTTACACTCATTGTTAGAGCAAAGAGCCCTAGGTGCACAGATTGGCCCTGCAGCTCACCAGCATGCAAACTTCTAAGATATTAAACCTCTCGAGGCTTTAGTTTCCTCACCTGCAAAATGGGGGTAATAATAGCACTTGCCTTGAATTGTAAGGATTAAGTGAATGAGCATAGGTCAAGTACTATACTGAGGACAGAGCTGTCCTGGAGAGAGCACTTGATATTATTCCTATGGAAAAGTTTTCCTTCTGTCCTCAACCGGACACTCTCTTCTCTACCTTGCACACTTACCTATCTGAACTCTTCTATCACTTTTTTCCCTGTTTATTTACCAATATATCTGTTTCTTGCTATTAAATTGTGAACACCTTAAGAAGAGGATTTATGCCTTATTAAATTTCCAGCACAAAGCACAGTGCTTGGCACATGATAGTTACTTACTATGTGCTGAATGAATGAACAAATGAAGGAAGGAAGGAAGGAAAAGGCCTCTGTCTGCAAAAGCTTATAATTTTGCTATGGTGAAGTCATCAAAGTGAAAAGAAACCATATGATTCTCACCTCTATAGACATATCATAAAATCCTTCATCCTGCAAACCTGTGCAAAAATCACATTAATTGCAGTCTCAGCCTCTGCAGAGCTGAGTCTGTGCTGGGCGACTGGATGTGCCCATGTGAAAAAGAGCTGCAGAGCAAGGTCGTGGTACTTGCCAGCCAAGGGACAGGCAGTGCTGCCGGGAGTCCTGAGCGGGGAGAGGGCAGAACAACATGAGATGAGTCACAAATGTGCTTGTCATCCTTGCTCATGGTAAAATGGGATTGTTGGGTAACAATAGGAACAATGTCACAAGGCAGGATGAGCCAAGTGCATGCCTCTGAGTGGTGGGCACAGACTTTGGTGTGGGGTTCAGAAGGGGGAAGAAAGAGAAAGCAGGCTCTTTGCTGGTGGTCAGGGCAGGCTGGCTGAGACAGCGGGATCTGAGTCCAAAGTTATGGCATCTCCAGAGCTCATCCTGGGTTGGAACACCCAGTGTTCAGACTTGGCTTCCAAGTTCACTGTGCTGATCTGCACTGCACTGGACTTTGAGCTTGCCTAGGTCTGGGTTTCTGATAGCTTTTTTATTATTATACTGGTAACATTATTCCATTGTTTAAAAGAAGAAGAAGAAACTAAGAAGAGAACCAGAGAGAGAAAAATAGCCTATAATCTCTTCTCCCCCAGAAAAATCACTCAATATTTTGGTGCCCACCCACCCTTCACCCACACTTCCACCCACCTACTAATCCATCAGTCCAACCATCTGTCACAGAGATCTTAGTTGCAAACCACAGAATCCACTTTAACAGAAAAGGAACTTACTTAAAAAGATTAAGAGGCTCACAGAATCCATAAGGGATGATTGCTACAAAGGTCCAGTATTCAGAGATGACAGCCAGACCATCCAGAGGTACTCTTCCAGCAAAGCTACCATAGCAGCTGTCAATCAGCATGAATTCTACAACCCATACCCTTCAACTGGGTGGATCTCCAAGCATCTCCTCTGTTACTCTAAAGGCCAGGTGCCTTCCCTGCCCCCTTTTCTAGGTCCCTGCTTCCTCAGTTGCTCTCTTCCAAATCAGTCTCACATTGTTGCATCTGATTGGTGGAATGTAGGTCACACATCTATATCTTAGCTGCAAGGGAGTCTAAGAAAACACATTTCTGGCCTTTACTTTGAGAAGTGGGATTTATGATCTGGGGAAAACCCACAAACATAGGAAAGATGGGCTTCCCTGGTGGCTCAGCAGTAAAAAATTTGCCTACAATGCAGGAGACATGGGTTCAATCCCTGGGTCAGGAAGATCCCCTGGAGAAGGATATGGCAATCCACTCCAGTATTCCTGCCTAGGAAACCCCATGGACAGAGGAGCCTGGTGGGCTACAGTCCACGGGGTTGCAAAGAGTCGGACACGACTGACTCTTTCTTTCTTTCTTATTCAGTATTTTCCAATACTGGCTAAGAGTCAGACAGAACTGAGCAACTAATCAACAACAAGCATTCTCTGAAAACAATCTAAAACAGTTACTGCAAAGGCAACCTTAGAGGACTCTCAGGATGATAAAGATCACTGGCACTTAAATTCAAAGGGATCTGTTAAAATCTATCTTGTTCTTCACAGTCAAGGTGTAGCATTGCAGAATTACATGGATTCTGCCTTTCAGAAGCTTATGTGTTGTGCTGCGCTTAGTCGCTCAGTCCTGTCCAACTCTTTGTTACTCCATGGACTGTAACCCACCAGGCTCCTCTGTCCATGGGATTCTCCAGGCAAGAATACTGGAGTAGGTTGCCGTGCCCTCCTCCAGGGGATCTTCCCAACCCAGGGATTGATCCCAGGTCTCCCGCACTGCAGGTGAGTCCTTTCCCATCTGAGCCACCAGGGAAGCCCCTCTTAGAGATTTATACTATAGTTCAACTGATAAGAGGCAAGAAACACACTTAAGTGAGAAGAAGGTCTCTTAGTGACAAATGAGATAGGAAAGTCACTGCTCCCAGGTTCAGAATGGCATATCAGCATAGGACGGGTCAGATGAGAGAAGCCTGCTGAGAAAGGGTGTGAGAAAGCCTGGTGAGAAAGCTACTACTTAGTAGTAGCTAAGGTACCAGCCTTGCAGCAGCAGCAAACCTGCATCCCATCTGACTGCTTCACCGCAGGTCAGATCACCATCCTGAATTCTGAGAGCATCAGGCACCCCTCTTTACCATGGCTGGATTCCACTTTGGATTCTCTGATCCACGCCTACATCCTCCACTACACGAAGAGCTTGCCATTGTGCCCCAGAAAGGCTCTGGGTGGGCAGAGGCTGGTGAGGACCAGGTCAGGGTGTGGCAGCTGGGAGGGTGAGGCTGAGACCTGTCATCACAAAGACAGTCTGCAGCCTACCCCCCCCACCCCCGTCCCCCACCCCGCAACCCCCACCCGTTTCCCCCAGGGAGGTGCAGCTGATGTGTTTCTGGAGTGTTCCAATCCAATTAACGCCCTCCCCTAGCTCCAAGGAGAGGCCCAAGCCACCACTCCCTTCCCTGAGGTAGAGACTCAGTGGGGAGGGGGTGCCGCAGAGGTCTGATCACCCTGACCCAGCTCCTCCCGGCAGCGCGGCTGGCTGGCCTCTAGACAGGCTGCTACGACAGCGCCCGTTTCTAGGCGACTGTTCTGGGGAATGGTCTGTTTTGGCAACCGGAGTCCCCCTGGGTGAGGGGAGCTCCCCCCAACCTCCTTGGCGCCGCCTTATTTGCATGGCAACCACCTCCCCGGCCCGAGCTGCGCTGCTGCTCTGCGGCCGTCCGGCGGCCGGGAGGCTCCAGCCCCTGCCCTGCACCCAGCCAGCCCCCAGCCCCAGGCCCGCCAGCCACCGCCTTATTGTCCCAGTCCTACCTCCCCTGGATGTGGAGGCTGCCCGCTGGGCGAGGGCATTTCCGGAAAGGAGGGTGCCCTAGGGAAGTGGGGAAATGATGCTTAGGGAATGGGGGAGGGGGAATGAAATATAATCTTTTTCAAACAAGTCCAAGTCACATGGTTTGGAAGCATCAAAACGCATTCTGGATAACAAGGTTGGCTCACAAGATGTTTGTTTAGGTGACCTCTCAGCTCAACCCTAGGAGGTACTCAGAAGATGTCTTTTGGATCATTAAATTGCCAAGTGTTTGTGTGAATTTGGAAGTGGGTAGGTCTGAAAAAAAAATTTCGTACCTAGAACAATCAGGCAGTGATATTCTTAGAAAATATTTTCAAATAGTTGCAAGAGGGACTTGGTGACATAGGATTATCAGATGATTAATTTGTTGGAAGAAACAGAAAGAGGAAATAAATAGATAGGCTGATAACTCTTGGAGGCTCCCTCAGTCCTGCCTATGCCCACCCCACCCCACCACACCCACCAGCTTGAGTCCTTGATGCCACCGGAGATGTCAGGCTCTGAACACGCAGATTGACATTAACTGCCCAAGGACACATGCCCTGGACTGGAACCTGAGAAGGGGGTTGGGCAGGGGCAGGTCACCCAGCTGAGCGATCACATTCCCTGGCAGCTGTCCAAGGGGCAGCTTCAGCTGCACCTGTTTGTGGGACGATTTGCTTTTATCAGTATTGACACAGCAGCGGGGCCAGGGAATAGCATAGTAATAAATAAATGAGAGCAAGAGGAGAAAAAAAAAAAAAGGGCTGGAGCCACCCAGGCGAGGCAAAAATGCTGAGGTCTTTTTTTGCTTGTTGTATGTCAGCATGTTCAATCCAGTTTCCCCACCCCTGAAATCTCTGAGGATCATGGTGTAGGCTTGGCATGGGAGCTCTGGGTCTTAAAGAGATAGAATTGCAGAGTCGGAAGCACTTTAAGATCCTTTTGTGCCAGGTATCCCTGCCCAGTGGATCTCAAGGTTACTCTGTATCCTCACTTGCCTCTTATGGTTTGTCAGGAACCTCAGCAGGGAGTTCCTTCCTCCCTCTGCCAAGTTTCGGCATCAGGGACACAATGATTAAAGTGTAGGTTTTGGAGTTGGTCAAACCCAGGATCAAATCCTGGCTCTGCCTAGCTGTGTGATTTTGGATGTGTTAACTAATCACTCTGAGCCTCTGATCTGCCCCAGAAATAGAAAATGGTAATAAATAAGTAAAATAGTACTATCTATTGTTGCAAGGATGCAAAAGACCTAGAATAATTGTTCTGTATATGTTCACTTGGTCACTATTATTACTAACATCACCTCAAGTTTCTTTCAAGGCTTTGGAGAAAATACACCACCATCACCTCCCCCCATGCCAAAACAAACAAACAAACCCTAGGGGAATTGATCTGTTCCAGAAATTGGAGAAGGGGAGCAAGCAAGAGCCTGACATACTCTTTGCCCCCCAAACAGGGTCAAACGTGGCCTCTTGGTTTCTCAGCCTTGTTTCCAGGCTTCGGGGGCCACAGGCTGACTTACGTTCATTCTAGTTCAGTACAGTAAGTGGAATGCAAAGAATCCTGGTCATCAGAAGCCACCTGACCAAGCCTAGAGATAAACTGCATTGGCAGAAATTACTAGCCATGAGTAACCTCCAGGTTTCAGAGAGGAGGTAGGTTCTCTGGGTGAGACATAGTGTAGCTGCTAAGAAGGTGGGTTCAACTGTCAGATCACCGGACTCTAACATCAGCCCTGACATCTGCTAGTCATGCGCCCATACCAGGTTATTTAACCTCCATAAGCCTCGCTTTCCTTATCTGTAAAATGGTCATAATAATACCCCATAAACTTGTTGTGAGTTTATGTATGAAAAGCGTGTAGTGAGTGCCTGACATGGAGAAAGTGCTTAATCATGTTAGCATTCGACGTCCTTGCTGTGAGATGAAAGAAACAAGGGACTGTGTCATATTCTTCACGGAATAGCCAGATCCTCAAACAAAGCTTGACATTTGGTAGGTACAGTAATGCTTGATGAATGAATGACTAACAAGGTCCTTGCCCCCAAGAAGTTGAATCTTCCCAGGAAATAGAAGATGTAAACTGCCTATGCTACTCACCGTAGGAGACACCAGAGGGTTAAAAGCCATCCTGCCGGTCCCCAAGCCCCAGAGGCAGACAGTCCCTTTGATCCCTCAGTTTCATCTATCCAGGATGCTTTCAAGAGAGGAAAACAGGAAGTATCCCTGATAGCCCAGCTTGCTCTTTTTTTTTAATTTTTTTTATTTTAATGAATGGGCGGGGGTGCGGTGGGAGGAGGATGGTCCTTTGGGTCACATTTTGCCAGGAAATCAGCCTCCTTCCTTTCAAATGCTGGAGCTTTCAAAGGGGCAGATAAATAGTGGTATGCTTGATACAGAGAGACAGATGTGATCCAAAAATGGCAAGGCTGACAGGTTGCGGTCCTTAGTGGACAACGTTACAGTTACTAGACTCAGGTGCTTCCAGTCCATGTGGCCCTTTGTATATTCACTCACTCACCGTTGACCAAGTGCCTTGGGCTGCACCCTGAAATTATGGCTCAGTATCAAGTGTCCAGGACTTGACCAAAAGGCCAAAGGACAGTAAGCTCAGAAAAGATGGACGGAACACAGAAACGTGAGACTATTCCAAAGGAGAGAAATAGCAGCTGGTATGAGAAAGTAGTCATAGGCATGAAAATGGAGGGGAACACAAGCAAACACCCAGAGAAGAGTAAGTATATAGGCAAAAGAAAAGAGTACTGCTTTTAAGCATTTGAAGCCGGGGTAGTAGAGCCCTCGTAACAGGAGAACTGGACACAGAGTGCATACAGGAGAAGCCCATGACCTCCAGGGACACACAGGAATGAACAGAAGCAGGAAGCAGAATAACAGTTTAAGACAACGGATGTGACTCTGACCAGGCCAGCCCCAAAAAGAGAGCATTTGCTAACCCTTTGTGTTAAATTCACATTTGCCCAGGATGGACACGAAAAGAATGTTCTAGGAAAGTGGAAAGGTTTTATGTCATGATAGAGGTGTAGCTTGCATGGGCAGATCGATTTCTCAGTGCTACACAGTTAAGATTTCTGCATGTCAATGTTTATAAGTTTCACCTGAAAAAAATAACTCTACAAAATAACCATCAAGTGGGCAGAGGGTACAAAGGGTACCTATGGGTTCACAATACTTTTCTGTTGACGCTGAAATTGTTTTAGGAGCTTTCATGATTAAAAAAAAGTTTTAAAAAAATTGTTCACTGCTGTCCTCAAGCAAGCCCCTTTCAGATTCTCAGAAAGGCAGATGAGACATTACCTATTATAAGTCCAGTCTAATGTATCTAGCCTTTTTGTTATATATGAGGAAACTGAAGTGTGCCTTGAACGAGCCAGATATAGTCAGATATCAAATTCTCAGATAGCCCGGGGCAGAGCTGAGGCTGGAATCTGAGGCAGGAGCAGTGCCCTTTGACCCTTTCAACTCTCACCCACTGGTAGGGAGTCAGCTGGAATTTACTCATTAGCCTGGGTTGCCCTTCCAACCTGCAGTCCCAAGTCTTGAAGGGCAGGGAGACTGAATGGCCTGGGGGAGATTCCAGACTCCCAACCACTTTCTCCTGCACTGTTTTCCTTCTGTGGGTAATCCTGAGCTCACAGAGATTGTTAGGTCCCTTTCTGCCACTTCCAAAGGCAGCAAAGGAAACCCACACGATTAAGGATTCCCAGTAACCCAGAGTGAAACCAGCTAACAGAGGCGTTGCCTAGGACAGCCCATCCTCCTCTCCTACCTTGGTTGCCCTTTAAGAAGATTTCGGGTTCTGTTATCTTACAGGGTTGTAGGGAGGATCTCAGGAGGTGCTGGTAGGGGAAGCACTTTGAAAAGTTAAAAGAGCCCTACAAATGGGAGGGAGCATTATCAAAGAGACAGCGCGCAGGAGGAGGAGGGAGGGAAGCACAGAGGCTTCTCCCAGGTTCTTAACTGCCTTTAGGTTGTGCCTTAGGGGAAAAGACTTTTGGGGGAGGGAGGAAAAAGAAGTGCTATAGCCTTCTTTTTTTCCATTAAAAAAATAATGTTATTTATTTTTGGCTGCGCTGGGTCTTCGTGGCTTTGCGCGAGCTCCTCTCTGTCGCAGTGACTGCTCTCCTTGCCAAGCACAGGCTCTCAGGTGGGCAGGCTCACTAGTTGCGGCTTGAGGGCCCTAGAGCCCTGGGTCAGTAGGTGTGGTGCACACAGCATGTGAAATCTTCCCGGACCTGGAACTGAACCCACATCCCCTGCACTGGCAGGCGGATTCTTAACCACTCCGCCACCAGGAAAGTCCTCTAACACTTCTGGGTGTCTGCCCTGTGCCAGGCAGTGTGTTCTGTCCCCGCAGCAGCATCTCATTTCTTCCTATGACTCTGGTATTATTGTTCT